GACATTTTTAATTTAAAAAAATGTATATATGCTGTCACTAAAGTCATGACTTTAACATAATTTTAAACCTTATGTATACAATACTTTAATTCTTCGAAAGAACTTTTATAGATTAATCCCCGCCTTATCCTCAACGGATGTATTTCAAGGCTCCCAGTGGATGCCTACAGTGGATAGAATGAAACCCTGTATATATTATGTTTTTTCCTATACATACATACCTATGATAAAGCTTAATTTATAAATTAGGCACACTAAGAGATTAACAACAACAATAATAATAAAACAATTATAACAATGTAATATAATAACAATTATGTGAAAGTGGTGTCTCTCTCTCTTTCTCTCTCTCTCTCAAAATATCTTATTGTACAAATGTAATGCCTTTTCCATCTTAACTAAGCACTTATCACACACTGTGGCCACAACTTTTGCAGTTTGAGATGTGACAGCAAAACTAGCACGAATTTCTTTTTCCTTCTTCACAATTTCACAGATGGAAGTCTTCTTCTTACTGTAGATCTTAGCGACATCAGCATATGATTTTTTTTTCCTTTTCTTATTGAGTTGATGACTTCTACCTTTTCACTTAAAGGAAGCACTTTACTGCTTCTCTTTGGCATATAGGAATTGCTGGCATCACCACTCTTGCGATTTGGGACGTTTATTAAGTAAAATAAGGGCTACTTGAACATAAGCACTGGGATTCCATGACCATCAATTTGATAACTGAGGGGGCTACTATGTGACTAACGCTAATGGGCTGTGTACTCTGGACACAGGATGACTCACGTCCCCGGGGCGATGTGAGATTTCATCATGGTGCTCAGAATGGCGTGCAATTTAAAACGTATTGTTTATTTCTAGAATTTTCCATTTAATATTTTTGGACTTCAGTTGACTGCAGGTTGCTGAAACCCTGGAAAGCAAAACCACAGATAAGAGGGGACTACTGTTTACTTTAGCTCCTCGTTATTCTCTACTCCTCTCCTTTCACCCTCCTTCTCACACTTCCCAGGCTTCCAACCTTTTCCATCACGGCCTCTAACGCTCCATCCCACTGTAAACAAGCACTCTGTACTTTTTAACAGAAACTTCACTTTCCCTGGAGGATCCCTCTCTCTACAGTCCTCTTTTCTTTTTTTTTTTAATTTATTTAATTTATTTATTTTTGGCTGTGTTGGGTCTTTGTTGCTGCACGCGGGCTTTCTCTAGTTATGGCGAGCGGGAGCTACTCTTCGTTGCTGTGCGCGGGTTTCTCATTGCGGTGGCTTCTCTTGTTGCGGAGCACGGGCTCTAGGTGCACGGGCTCAGTAGTTGTGGCTCCCGGGCTCTAGAGCACAGGCTCAGTAGTTGTGACGCGTGGGCTTAGTTGCTGCGTGGCATGTGGGATCTTCCTGGGCCAAGGATCGAACCCGTGTCCCCTGCCTTGGCAGGCGGATTCTTAACCATCTACAGTCCTCTTTGTTCTCTCACAACTCACATAGTCCAAGCCCATCGTGATGAGGTGTAGGAAGGAGTATATTAGTTAATAGTCTTTTGATTGGTAGTAATAGAGGCCCAAACTCAAATCTAGCTTAAGGTTTAAAAAAGGGACATATGAACTTACATAACTAAAGAGAGGTAATCTCAAAGCCACAAACGATATCAGAAATATCCCTCCAACCTTCAACCATTATTTCCACTTGTGCTTGAATTAATTTTCTCATGATTCTATTGCAATCTTCTTCTAGACAGTGGGTAGGACAGCTACTGATAACCACAAGATTACATCATCTCTCTCCTCTTTTCAAGAATTATGTCTACAATGCAAGACTCTAGTTGAAATAGCGTGTGTCACAAAACTATTCTTTGGTCCAGTCACTATCTATGGAGAATACTATACTACTGGTCCAGCCTGGGACATGATAAACATGCCACTGATTTGAGAGACGGGACACCAAAATTGATAGCTCCTCCAAAAACATATAAAGTTCATATTTCCAAAGAAAAACAAAATAAGCTTATCTACTAGAGAAGAAATGGCGCTCCCCTAGCACATCACGTTAGTTTGAAATAGTTTATTCTCCATCATCCTCTAATAAAGCAAACAAACCTCTTGTCCTTTGAGACATGTTATCCAGCCCTTATTCTCTGCCATCTACTGCCATTAGTCAATACCTAGGTGGTTTTGGCACTAGTCTTTCAAAATATCAGTCATCATTTTGTATGACTTCAATGTCCACTTAGATGATTTATCCAACAGCCTAAAGTCCTAGATTCACAGTTCCTTAATCTCCTAAAATCTTGGGATCTTAATCTTGCATTTTCCGAATCTTATCAACCATGGAACTCTTCTATTTCAAAACCTGAGGATTCTAGGGCTTCCCTGGTGATGCAGCGGTTAAGGATCCTGCCAATGCAAGGGACACGAGTTCGAGCCCTGGTCCAGGAAGATCCCACATGCCGCGGAGCAACTAAGCCTATGCGCCACAACTACTGAGCCTGTGCTCTAGAGCCTGCATGCCTCAACTACTGAAGCCCACGTGCCTAGAGCCCGTGCTCTGCAACAAGAGAAGCCACTGCAATGAGAAGCCCGCGCACCGCAACGAAGAGTAGCCCCCGCTCGCCATAACTAGAGAAAGCCCGCGTGCAGCAACAAAGACCCAACGCAGCCAAAAATAAATCAATTAATTAATTTTTAAAATATTTAGGATTCTAATAATACAGTCTCTGGGTACAACCTCCAGCTTCCTACCAGCATGTACATGAGGACATCAACAGAAACAGCAAACTCAATGTGTCTAGCTGATAATTGCTTAGAGCCTAAGACTGTGCCCCAGGCACTGCTATAGCTCATGTACCTTGTCCTCACCTGCTTGCTCACCTCCCTGAAAAGGAGCAGCAGCAGGTCCATAGCGACTCCAGCTCGCACCAGCTCTCTTCCTTTTTATTTTCTGAGTCCTAGACCAGGCATGTGTGCAACAAGATGTGAAAGGCATCACTTTCTTCTTTAGGTTACCCATGTTGCCAGACTTAGATGCTAGGAGAGTCAAACAGGGTTCCCTTTGCTGGCATGTGTTCCTATTTACATCTTCAGGTTCCATTTTGTCCCCATGGGTCCCATTTTCCATTCTCCTTCCCCTACTTCAGGTCCAAATTTCTCTCCCACCAACTTGTCCTGCTGACCTACAGTGACTTGAGGCCCACCACCATATGTAGAGGGGCCTTCGAGAAATTACTTCGCCAGTTCCCCTTCATGATGATTAGTGACTTTTTTCTGATCTTCCAACCATCACTTTTTGGACCTTTGTGCCTCCAGAGTCTCCCACAACTTTGTACAATCTAACTGCTACAATAAATCCATTCTATATCATTCATAGTGGTTTTTCTTCCCTCATCAAACTGTAACCAAGACACCAAAATGGAGGCTATTTTACAAAAATCTGAGAAGTTTCTGTAGAAAAAAAGAGTCTTAAAATGCAAAAGAGGGCTTCCCTGGTGGCGCAGTGGTTGGGAGTCCGCCTGCCGATGCAGGGGACGCGGGTTCGTGCCCCGGTCCGGGAAGATTCCACATGCCGCGGAGTAGCTGGGCCCGTAAGCCATGGCCGCTGAGCCTGCGCATCCGGAGCCTGTGCTCCGCAACGGGAGAGGCCACAACAGTGAGAGGCCCGCGTAACACACACACACACACACACACACACACACACACACACATATCTCAGACAGGTTGGTTTCATTGTTTTGTTTTGTTTTGTTTTAAGACATTTTTTTCTGTAGCCCACCAGGAAGCAGATATTTTGTCTTGTAATCCTTAGAGTGAGAATGAATCTACACATTCCTTTCTCATTCTGTTACTCATTCTTTGGCTCATTATAGAACCACCACAGTGTAGGAGCAAAAGAACTAAACTGAGAGGCCAGACATCTGAACTGGAGACTTTTATGAGCAACCAGTCAGTTGGGTAACCCTGGCCAAGTCACTTCCTCACTCCAGAGCACAGGGTTTTCTCAAGCTCTCAAGCAACAGGAGATTGACAAGAGTCTGATATCCAGAATGGCCAAAGGCAAGTCTGTGGCTTGGAGCAGAGAAAAGCAGTCTGTCACACCAAAGTTTGACCGGGGGAATTACCCAGTCACAGGCTCTTGTACCACACAAAACTCAGCAATGGCAATGGTTTAACCCCATGGAGTCTATTCTTTTACAGAATTTTGCTGTGGCCACATTTACTTGGACTCATTAAGTTCTCTCTACACTCAGACGACAATGAGTCAGTGAAAACAACTTCTCAAGGTACTCTAATACACTGAGCAGGCTAAGATGGAGAGATTCCAATTACCCATTACTGTCAGAGACTTCTCCCTGCTCACATATTTCAGGAGTTCCAAGTCCATATTTCCTCAGTGACCTGATTTTGCAAGTGAGCTATAGTGTGGGCTTACCGTATTTTAGTTTCTTGTGCTCATCACACTTTTATTTTTCAAAGTATTATTCTAATACTTTATTCTAATAATATGTTATAAATAAAAGATCAAGTTTGTATGAAATAAATTTAACATATTTCCCAACAAGCCAAAATGTACCCAAAACCTGTTTAATCAAAATTTCCTTGAGGGGGGCTTCCCTGGTGGCGCAGTAGTTGAGAGTCCGCCTGCTGATGCAGGGGACACGGGTTCGTGCCCCGGTCCAGGAGGATCCCACATGCCACGGAGCGGCTGGGCCCGTGAGCCATGGCCGCTGAGCCTGCGCGTCCGGAGGCTGTGCTCCGCAACGGGAGAGGCCATGACAGTGAGAGGCCCGCGTACCGCAAAAAAAAAAAAAAAGAAAAAATTTCCTTGAGGAATAAGGAAGTTTAAAAAAATTGTATTGTTACAAATACCAAAAGCTATCAAAATCTGCCCAGGAACAACTATTTACATTTTAGGTGTATATTCATTCCAAAATGGAAAGGCACAGTGTTGGTTTGCAAACTGGTCCCCGTACACAGAGGGCAAGAAGAGACCAAGGAAGGAGACAGATCATTCCAGATTAGTTAACGGTGGGTTTAGTAAGCAAGAGAATTTATGTACAAGGCTCGTCTTGGGCAGCCACAAGATGAGTAGATCTCCACAGCCACCTGCCAGAATCTTAAACGTTTGCATAGAGCTCTTAACAAAGTTCAGTCATGTATCCCGTCCAGATGGTCTCAACAGCACATTACTGTCTCAAGGCTGTGTCCTTGAAAATAGCTCCCGCTGTGGGAACCGTAGCCAGAACGTACATTCCAAGGACAAGGGTGAGAGTGAAGAGCCTCCAGTTGCCAGGGTCCAGATCACAGGTCAACTCGTGGTCACGTCCTCTCAGTGACCTCCTCCAACAAACAGTGAAGCAATAATCAAAACAATCACAAAGTCCTCTCTTTTTCTTGAGTACGTTTCAACAGAGTAGATGAGAACTACAGAATCTATGCAGAGGGAAGTAAAAGTATTGAGTTCCCTGCTCATCTCTTATTCTGTGGACTGCGGTGGGTTCAGAAGTACCTTCAAATAGGGTCCTTTGTTTTCTAGTGGCCTGTTCACTATGAATGCTTCTTGGAAATGTATCCTTAGCTTCTTATTCGACTTCTGATTTCAATCTATGTCCTTTCTCTTCTGTTCTCTCAGCTTCCATTTCTCTGTGTACACAAATACTTATATCTATTTCCTCCCCCTTTGGTGTTCTTTTGTATTATCTGCAGATCTCTTTTAACTAAACTACGTATACCTAAAAGGAAAACTCCATTAAAAATTCATTCACGAAATATCAAATACTACAAAAGTTAGCACAAACCCTGTCCTCACAAAGCTTATAGTCCAAAAGAAATAAACAAAAATAGGGAATTCCTTGGTGGTCCAGTAGTTAAGACTCTGTGCTTTAACTGCTGAGGGTGTGGGTTCAATCCCTAGTCAGGGAACTAAGATCCCACAAGCTGCGCAGTGACGCCAGAAATAAAAAACAAAGGTGTTGGCAAATGCTCTGAATAATGAGTTATCAGGTGTTCTAGAAATACTTGGTCGGGGCACTAGAAACTGGTGTAGGTAGAGCAGGGAATTACATTTGAAATCTTCTAGGTCTAAATACATCATCTTCAAAGATATACCCCGCCCTGCAGATAGAAATGTCACCATCCCACCTGCCCCGTAAGTTCTAAAATATAGGGATAACATCTGACCTGTCCTTCACTTTTCATATATATTCATCTGCCACTTGCTATTATGGAAATACTATGAATATGGTTCAGAGGAAGTATGGTTTCCTCTGCAGGGACAAAACTCTAAAATATTGAAGTTCAGTCTCCATAAAGTGCTTACATGAGAACATATATAAGATTATAAATATATCCCCTAGTATGCTATAGTTAGCTGGATAGGGAATAAAATGCAAAGCGATTCCTTTAAAATAAGCCTTGCAAGCAGGCAGTCCTGTTTTTGAATAAACCAAATGCTCTAGTTGTATTTTCTAAACAGCAACTAACTTATTTATAAGACTGTTTAGCATTTCAGGCAGTTTACCACTATAATATCAAGTCTTTCTTGGTATCAATTTTGGTTCCATTATAAAGTGTCTATTTTTAGTGAAGCCATGATGGAGCATTATTTGATGATCCCTTTCCCCAGAAACCTGAATCATTTTATCTGATTGCCTATGCCCTTTTTCATCCACTTGACATCATTTTAACATCCAGCGACAGCATTTTCTGAAACAAACAAGAAGTGATTAAATGGGGGAAAAAAAGTGATTCCCCTTTTTCTGACATGATTACAGTTTTATTTCTCTATATCAAGTGCTCTAGACATTAACCTCAGGTATCACAGCAAGGTCAGAAGCTTTTGCTAAAGACTTCATTTGATAATGATGGGTCTTCATTTAATTATCACTTAAGGTTAATTCATGGTTTGGGTGTATATGTACTAATCTTTGCCTTCTCTAAACTGAAATTACCTTTGCCTCTCTATGGGGAAAAACATGGACTTTGAGCTAGATATATCTAGGTTCTAGGCCTGGCTCTGATATTTATAGGCTATAACTTTGGGCAAGTTACTTAGCCTCTCTGAGTTTTCTTCTTCTATAATACAGAGGTCATAAGACTTTATAGCAGAGTTTCTCTACTTCTGCATTATCAGCATTTTGTACCAGTTAGTCCTTTGTTGGAAGAAGCTATCCTGTGCATTGTAGGATGTTTATCAGCATCCCGGCCTCTACTCCCTAGATGTCAATACATCCCTCAGCTGGAACAATCAAAATTCTTTCCAGACTTGCCCACTGGAGAGCAAACTTGTCCCTATTTTACTGGATTATTGAGTGGGTTAAATAAAATCACTTGTGGGTAATTTCTCACATTATGACACAATATATACACAATAAATGTAATTGATTATCGATAGACCTGGATTCTCAATAAGAATAATAACAACAACCACATTGTACTGTATAAAAACAAAGAAGGAGAAATCAGAGGATGAAAGATTTTTGTTGTTGTCAGGGAAAAAGTTGGCCATTGTTCAGAAAGGAAATAATTTAATGTTAGTTTGGTTAGATTTATAAGCTTTCGGTTATGCCTGTTTGGGGGGAAGAGGGATACTGAATAAGTTAAAGGCATTCATGAATTCAACAGATAACAATTTCAACACTAACTGACATTTTTTCTTTAATCCCCTGAAAATACAGCCATTGGAATTTCAAACTAAATTCAAGCCTTAATTTCCAAGTGTCTGATAATGTAGAAAAAGTTCAGCATTGGGAGACAGACAGATCTAGGTTCAAATCTCAGCTCTAACTTTCAGATACTCTAAGACCTTGGGAAAATTTCTAACAATTTGGAGTTATTTCTTCATCTACAATTTAAGAAATAATAATATTACCAATTGATAGTGCTTTATGAATATTCTGTGTTTTATGTGGCAATCTAAAATAGAGCTCAAAGATTAAGCACCTGAGTGAGAGACTATTAAGCCTGGAGAAACAAACACTACAGACAAAAAGCAGTTGCTTGAACAATGGCATTGTTAGAAAGTTATCATTTATTGTGTATCTGCTATAAACCAGGCATTGGTCTAAGAGCCTGGCAAACATTAACCCTTTTAATCTTAAAAAAAAAGAAAAAACTCTGAAATAGGTACAAAACTAGTCTAACCCCCATTTTAGAGCGGCACCAAGTTACTAAGGAACTTGCCCAAGGTCACATGACCAGGTGATGATGAAGCTAGAATTATAGCCTTCCAACTCCAGAGCCTAAACTTCTAACCACTAAAGTGCCCTGGCTTTTATCCTCATCTAGTTAGAGATATATAGCCAGAGTCTGCACTGGGTCCTCTAAGTTGACAAAAATGACTTTTCGAATGGACTGTTGGGTTAAAGAGATAAGACACAGGCACAAAATTCAGATTCCAAATTCTGGATTCAAAGTCTTATGAACATTTGAATCCCAGTGAAGGAAAAGAGTCTGAATATTTAACAGACTAGAAAGAAAAATGATTAAGAACTTACAACAACCAAATAGCTAGGGCTCAACTGCTTACAGAGCAAGTTTATTTTTTTTAATGGGTCATTCACAAACCTTTAACAGAGTATGGAGGGTAAAGTTGGAGCAGAAGCAGGTAACTCTGAAATGTTCTCACTTTCCTGTGAGTCTGTAGGCTTTGGAGGGAAGATTGTAAATGAAGTGAATATAAGTGAAAAATAAGGTACATGGTTTTTATTTCTTGGCAACTTTTTCACTTGTTGAGACACATATAGAGATGCCCCATTCAGAAGATAGCTTCTGATTTTGCATTGACTGTAGTATATAAAACTGGTTGCTCGTGTAGGTTTTTAATTACTATCTTTGTTAAAAAATTAACCCCTTTATTAAACAAATAAATATTTTGTTCAGATTTTGCCTAGAAAACTAAAAATATAAATATTTGTTTTATCTTTTTAACACAGAGTAGCTGGGCTAAAAAATAAATTGGAGTCAGACTATGAAAGGCCTTGTAAACCACATTCTAAAGACTTGTGAAATTAAGATAATGAATAGTGAGAGTAGAGAAAAGAGTGTGTATCTGAGGGACATTTCCCAAGAACTGACACCTCTTTGAAACTAAGACAGAGTGAGTGAAGAAAAAGAAGTAGCAGAGAGAGACCCCAAGGGAGATGGGTGGTGAAGCCATTATCCAAGACTCAGAACAAGAACGGCAGAGCAGATTTCCTCTGAGTGGGTAATAATGAGAGACAATAAAGAGTGACATAAGGACTTCACTTTTTTGAAATGTTGAGTTGGTAGTGCCTGCGGAACACCCAGGTGAAAAGAGCTGATTGAATCCTGTACATATAAATCTGCGTTTGAAATGATAGCAGTCATAAGAGCTTTACTTTGTTGCTAGATTCTGTGTTAAGCATTTTGTACCCTATAGCAGAAGTTGCTAGATATTTTGAAATATCTGCCTTCTTTCTCTTCCTCCCCAACAATATTCCCCTATCATCTATACTAAGAGAACCACTGATTTGTGGCTACAAATCGGTACCTAGCTGCTTGGGAAAAAGACTAAGCTTCCCAATCTCCCTTGTTGGTAGGAGTCATCATGCAACTAAATTGTGACCATAGGGCTGGGAATGCAAGTGTTTTCAAGAGCCTTTTCTTCATCCTTCCTGATGGCTAGAATGCAGACAATAGCTAGATAGCTAGAATAGACGTATACTTAGGAATGAAAATGATACATAGTAGGGCAACCTCATGAGCTAGGACCTGGGTACCAGGAACTGTATAGCACCACATAACTCCAGACATCTACTGGAAATTATTCATAGGACAAAAATAATTTGCCTCTTGTTTAGACCACTAATATTTGAATGTACTGCCTTTTAAAACAAAACCAAATCAAAACTGGGACACGTACATTATCTCACCTAATCCTCATAACAACGCTATCATCCCTATTTTAGAAGTGAGAAGTGAGACTGGGACAAGCGAGGAGAGAGGTTTACCCAAGGTTATCCAAAAGGAAAGCAGCAGAGCTAGGATTTAGTCTAAGCAATCTTATGGCAGAGCCACACTCATTACCACCAAGCTTCAGAAAACCATCTAGCTCTCTGACTATTCCAGAGGCATCCCACACAGACAAAAATCAGATCTTCTTTTTTTAACTTTTTATTAAATTATACTATATGTAGAGAAAAGAGCACATCCTTATTTTTAAATATGGAATATATTCAAAGTGTTTATTTTGTTTCTAGCCTATATTTTTCCTCATATTTTATGTGTTCATTTTCCCTTATCCCCAGATAAAGAACATGTAACCATCCTTTCCATGTTTATTTTATGACTCAGAAGCACTTATTAAAGGACTCTGGAGACTTCTCTTTTGCAGACTAAATAACCCTGGGTCCTAATGCCTTTCTTTATAGTTAAGTTCCCAACTACATGAATTTCTCCCACTGTGAATCTTTGAACATTCTTTAATCCCTCTCAGTTTTTTACCTCAGTACTGTTTACGGTGGCAAATTTAGCAGCATATATGGCTCGAGAATGAGTTTTTCACAGCACTTCCTTTGTACCAGGCCAGGATTCACGCATTAGCCCACCCATCATATTGAGTAGATTTAAATACTTGGTGAGTTAAGAGGTTCTTTCTGTTTTTCAAAGACAAAGAGAGCTTTGTGTTGTTGCTGAAAAGCCACATGAATAACTTGAAAACAAAGGGGTTGTCAATTACAATCTGTTCTTTATGTTTGCAGAATTTGTATTTGGTTAACCATAATCCACTAAAATTCTTCTGTGGACAAGAAGGGCATGGGAAAAAGTGGTGCAACAGTTTCTTTCTGGGACAGACTCAATGGACCAGCAGACAGGAGGGGTAGACCACCCTACGGAGGTAAATTCAGAGCAGGAGTGGGATAATTGCCACCAGTTAGGTGCGAGGAGGAGTGAGCTCAGGGAATACAGCTTGCTCTCTCACATACCCAGAAAAATCTGGGTGCCCAAAATGCTTGGATTCGGAAAAGAGATCTATGCCACTGTGAAATTTTAAAATGCGTAAGTTAATTTGTTTCCAGATATTTGGGTAAAAATTTTCATTAAAGGGAAATGCCTCTTGGTAAGAAGTAGTATTCTTACAGGTAAAATTATTCTTGGTAGAATTTTGGAAGGTCCCCAAAAGATGCTTCAGAAATCAGGAAAATTAGACAGAAGGTGAAATTCATCAACATTGTAAGTTGTACCCAAAAGTCTTGTGCTTTGCACAAAGAATGAATTTCTCTAATAAATAAGAACTGCTGCCAATAAATTTAAAAAGACCTATTAACCCAATGGAAAAGGATATGAACAGATAGTTCATAGAAAAGGAAAGACAAATAGTTCTTCTATATATAATATAATGCCCTACTGCACTCATAATACCATGATCGAAAATTAAAACTACAATGAGATACTATTCTCACATATCAGAATGGCAAACATCAAAAAGTGTAATAAAACATCACTGGCAAAATTGTGTAGAAATAGTCCCTTTCATAATTGCTGGTGGGAGTGCAATTGATGTACTTTCTTGGGAGAACAATTTGGCAATAGCTATCAAAATTACAAATGCACTGGGCTTCCCTGATGGTTCAGTGGTTAAGAATACGCCTGCCAATGCAGGGGACACGGGTTCAAGCAGGGGAGATCCCACATGCCCGCGGAGCAACTAAGCCTGTGCGTCACAACTACTGAGCCTGTGCTCTAGAGCCTGCGAGCCACAACTACTGAGCCCGCGTGCCACACCTACTGAAGCCCGTGTCCCTAGAGCCCGTGCTCCGGAGCAAGAGAAGCCACCGCAATAAGTCCGTGCAAGGCAACGAAGAGTAGCCCCCGCTCACTGCAGCTAGAGAAAGCCTGCGCACAGCAAGGAAGACCCAACACAGCCAAAAGTAAAATAAATAAAATAAATTAAAATAAAAGGAAAATTGTACAATTTAAATAATAAAAAAAATAGTTGTGTGTAACTCAAACAATACATGTAATGTACTAGGAAAACTTGTGATCTCAGAAAATTCTACTGTGAGGATTTGCTTACAAAGGAGATAACTTTTATAGAATAAACGATTATCCGAATCATGAGAGTGTAAGTGTATAAATGCTGATTTCCATATATCTAATTTGCTTAAAGAGAGATAAATGTCCCATATACATTCTAGAATGGGCATTCCAAGTAAGATTCATTTTTTCCGCCAACTCCTGTAGTGGTGATGTCTTCCTAGATCACTCTGTTGAATAGGATTCTAAGACAAGTCTGGACTTAGTAGGAAAGAATGCTGCAATAATTATGTCTGCCTCATATGTGAGAGTTAGGAAGGGTGGGAGGAATCAGACACAGTCACTCTCGCTCTGTATTTTTCCATGTTTCCCCTTCCTTCTTCCTTTCTGCTCCCCTCCCCCGCCATAATTTCCCACAAAAAGATTTCTAGGTATGAGAGTTACATGATAGAAGGATTTGTAAAGCCTTGGACTGAGAAAGAAAGAGGTGGGCCCCTCCCTAGAATTCCTTAGGAAAGGATGAAGAAATGGAAGAAGAGTTTGTCCAGAGCCTAATTAGATGTTTTTATCTCTGATCATTAAATTAAAATGTGGAAGGGTAGGAGAGAGACACATGACCTAGTTCATATCAACATGACTAGATTTTATTTACATATAATCTAATCAAGGAAGTTTGAGAATTGTCAAAATAGCAGTTCACTTAAATCAATATCAGAATCCACAGACGCTGAATGAGCTCTCTAAGTTTCTATGCTAGGAGCTCCAAGAATGTCGACAGTTTTTGTGACTCAAATGAGTTTTCAAAATGACAAAACATAAACATGAGATATCTTGAAAACTTCAGGGTAACAATTAAAGCGGTATATGATAAAACTTTATGGTAACGTATCAACAACTGAAAAACCTCAGGCAGGTGCAGTCACGCTCAGCTTTAAGGAGGGTATCAACATGAACAGGCCTTGGAGAATGGATGGGATTTGCTGAAGTCGGAAGAGGGCCTCAGGGAGGTTATTGAAGGTGAGTGGAAGAAACAAGGTTGGAAAACTAGGTCACTATCCGCCCTTGATGATCAAGCGAAGGTACATAAGTTTTCTCCTATAAGTCACAGAAATCATTTGAAGGTTTTTGACCAGGGTAATGAGACCTTCAAAGTAGTGGTTTAGGGAGGTTACGCTGATAGCCGTATCCAAGGTAGATTGCAGGAGGGTAAAGAAACTTGTGCTGGGTATGTCAGTTAGTGGGTTATTGGAATAGTCCTGGCGGAGGTGGTAGAGTTCTGGATGAGGGTGATAGCGTGGAATTGGAAAGGAGACAATAAATTATGAAAATGTTTACAAGAGACATTGAAGAGTAAACATAAGCAAGGCCTCATAACTGATGAATATGAGGGTTGAGAGATATTAAGGAGTCAAGGTTAGTATACTGGGAGAACAGGAAGACCCTTCTCCCAATTAGAGTCAGGTCCCCCTCCTGGGTGAGCAAATACACTCAGTCCTTTTCTTCTGTCGTGATAGTTATTATTCCGTTGTATGGTCTCTATTTATCTACCTCCCTCACTAGAAAGTGAGCTGCTTGAGAGTAAAGATCACATTTTAGTTGCGCTATATCTGGCACAGAGATGTTTGTATGTGTACAAAATGGAAAGGGAGAGAGGGAAGGAAGGATCTGTTTCAGAGGGAGAGATAAGCAAAGGATTTCTATACATGGAGAGATGGAAGTAACAGTATGTCATCCAAAATAATGCACTTATATTTCATTTACTCATATTAGATTTTTTCAAAGATTATCTTTATTACCATCCACTCGGTACAACCCATGGTGTCGTACACCCCAAACATACATTCTCAACACAAGATTCTACCTAAAGCCGAACCCCCCCACCAGCCATGACTTCTTAGTCTCATCAGAGGGAAATATTTATTCCACAAAAGTTTTCAAAGTTGCCAGCAAGGTTTCTGGAGGCCCACTTAGTAGCAATAAACAAAGCCTTAAAATGTACATAACTTTGATCCTCCAATTGAACTTTAAGGAATGTATCCTAGGTGAATAACCATGGCTACGTGAAAAAGATAATGAAGAGTATGCTCGTCACATAGAAGCTCATGACAGCAAAAGGTTTTTGAAGCAAACTAAGCAGCCCAAAATTGGATTGGCTAAACAAATTATGGAATATCTATACGAAGGAATCCTTTGTCATCATTACCAATGATGTAGCAGACTATCACATAGAAAGATACTCCCTAATCATCAGTAAGTGAGAAAGCAAATTACAAATTACAAAAGGAACGCATGATATAACCTCCTTCTGGTGATAGTATAATGTGTTGAAAGGTTATATACCAAAATATTAACAGTAATTATCTAAGGGTTGTGGTGTCATGGGTGATAGGTACTTGTTTTACTTTTTACTTTTATATCCAATTTCTTCAATAGGCAACTATATCTTTTGTAATAAGCTATATTTTAAACTCCAAGAGGACATAGACTTTGCCATATTTATTTTTGTATGTCTGGGACATAGCACAAAATATTGCTCAGAATTGTTCCATAACTGTTTGCTGAATTAAGAAAAATATATTTAAAGATGTTTCTATTTAGCTATTTTAAATTAAATAAAATTTAGATATGAGATAAATATAAGAAATATCTATTCTTTAAGGCAAGAGTTATTTATGGCAGTCATAGCCAGAAGATAGCAATATGTCACCAACATGACTAATCACAGAAGAAACATGACCACACAGGTCAAGCCAAATAACTACAGCTAAAGGAGGAAGGAAACCACCAGGCATCACTAGTGACCAGAAACAGAGCCAGCAGTTTAGCTAAGGAAGGCGATGAATATACTGGGTCCTGGGAGCTGCACCCTTACCTGAAGGTCGAAGAAATCCAGGCTATAGGCTAATGAGACTATTCAAGCTTCCTTCACCTGTCCTCTGGAATTGAAGTGAAAACGGCTCCTCTCTTCAGAGCCCTGATCAGTGAGCTTGTTTCATAGCCAAAGTAGGCACTTAGAATCCTCCCGTGGGGAAGAGACCTCTTGTCAGAGAGGCAGTGTGGTCTGGAAGAAGGAGATTTCAAATTCTACATGAGAAACAGCGCTGCCACTAACAAAGTGTGTGAGTTTTGGCAATCAAGTCATATTTTCTGGTTTTACTTGTTAAACATGAATTATAAAAATAGCTCCATAGTCACAAGATTGAGGACGAAATGCGATAATGACTGAAGAAAAAAGTTAAGACGAGCCATGACTAGGTGTTAAACTATAAAATGTATAATACTACCTTTATTCCTGGTAATGAAGTCATTTCACAACACTCTGTGGTGCAAGAGGAAAGACCTTGCCTTCTGGTGTTAATGTAGTTTCACCAAAACAGCCAATAAATTCCACTCACCCCTACCTACCTCCTACCTGCTAATCTACCTCTTGACTGGTGGGACAAGAGCTGAAGGCAAACAACCAGCAGAGTTCTGTCCTGCTCTGTAAATCACGGGAGTCGGTAGTTGGGTTCTTGCTAGTGCGCACGGGACCTGTCAGTCCTGGCAGACGCAACAAACCAGATCCCTCCAGAGCCCCATACCCACGTGCTATATACATTTCTTTCTGTCCAGAATTTACCATCTCGCTCATGATAATTAAGAATGAACCTTGTAGCCAAAACCTTGATCTCAGTGAGGATAAGATCCACGTGGCGCTCAGCTTTGCATCCTTGGTTCACAGCAGGATACCTCGAATGCAGTAGGTTCAGTAAATGTAAGAAGTGGAACAGGGCCCAAGCATTCATGACACTTGATTTCCACTGCAGAACTGGAATTCTTTGACTGAGGTGTTTGTTCAGCTACCCTCTTACTGCACCCCACTGCCAAACGAGGCTTTGAAAAATTGGATAGATCTTTTCCCAAAGTCTCCAGGTGAGCAGACAACGTATTTTTTCACTGGTATTTTTTTTCTATATTGAAAATATTAAAATATAATCTGCACTTTGGTTTTGGAGATCCACCAGGTATAAATGGACTTGGTTAAATAAATGGACACAGGCAAATCTATTTAAATCACTGCACTTAACCAAGCCAAGGTTTTCAAATTATGGTAACCACGAATAGGGGTGTTAACAGCTAGAATAGCAGGGAGCCGTTTTGCTGAACTTCGATGTCTAGAAACGTGTACCAACAATCCACAGGGATACGTTTGCATTTCATACTCATTTCCTATCGTCTAACCCCATCTTCTTCCATTCTCACATCGGTACCAGATAGCAACCCATTCCACATAGCCACACTTGTCCAAATAAATAGCCATTTACTAATCTGTAAAGGAACCCGGAAGGAAAGTTGGGTAAAATAAATAAGTAAACGTACAGAGAGAGAAAAAAAGATATAAAATGACTGTGTAGATAGATGATTAAAACAAAAAGCATGGTAACAAAAGGGAGACAGTAACAAGGGAGGAGTTAGGGATTGTTAAATTAATACTCACTGGAATTATAAACAAAATTGATTTCTTTACTTATTAAGTCTGCCACTTCAACTCATTCAAGTGACTTCAATATGAAAACATAGTGGGTAAGACAGTATAAGGCAAATGAAATTTAGGGTCAAGTGGAAACAGCTTCATGGCTTGGCTTTTGGCTTATTAGCTGAGACATTGAACAAGCAACTTTTCTGAACCTTAGTTTCAATATATGTTAAAAAAAAATAAGAGAACCATTGTACGAATTACTGATAATACGTGTGAAGCTCACAGCTGATAAGTAGGTATTCAAGAGGTGGTATCCATTGACTGTGATCATCTATGTTACCAATCAACCCCTAACCAATATAAGGGAATATTATGATTCAAAAGAAGCTACTTCCTATGAGAAAAAATGGAATTAACAGGGATGCGGAAAAGAGTCTCCTTGAGGCACTCAAGGTGAGGCACATGCAGGCAGACAAAGATTACACAAAGGGAGTATTTCTGATTTGAACATTGCTCAAGGTGAAATTTTATTGTTTAAGCAAGCTTTATCAAAACAATTTACTTCTTTTTTTCCCAAGCTTATGAATTAAAAGAATTTATGGGCTTTCCTGGTGGCGCAGTGGTTGAGAGTCTGCCTGCCGATGCAGGGGACACGGGTTCGCGCCCCGGTCCGGGAAGATCCCACA